AACCACAACCAAAGGTTGGCCCTCTAAACCACAACCAAAGGTTGGCCTTCTTGTGCCAATTCCCTAATAGTGCAGGAGAGCAGGCATTTATACAGCACTCGTACTTTGACAGATGTGGCAACAAGCCAGATGGGAGAGGCATGGCATTCTATCTAATTGCCGCGCCAGCTTATATAACAGGCAGCCTTTATTATGGATTTTAGAATGTTGTGTGGGTGTCTTAGTATGAAATCCTATGCAAACAACAACAAAACCCCACTCCAAAGCACAGGAGTGTGGGAAGGAGAAGAGAGAGAGCTAAGACTGATGGCTTACAGGCACAAGCTGGGCAGCATGTGGAGATAGGCAAGTGCTGTGCCAGCTTGTTGGCCCCGACTGTCCTCCTGAATCAGGGCACCAGCTTGGAGAACAACCCTTCTACAAGGACCCACACAACACTGTTAACATGCAGACCACTTCCTACTTTAGGCCAGTGACAGCACCTTACGGTTTTCTGACGGCAGGGACCCTGGCACTGCTGCCGTGCATGACACAGATCCCGGTGGCTGTGGCTGTTACACAGAGGGAAGAGGCGGCTCATGTACCTGATAGGCTGGAAGCCAGTGAGTGGCATGTGGTTGCGGCCTCCGATAGGAACCTGGCAGTCCGGGCAGACGCTCTGCTCCATTGGCTTCCCACACTAGAGTGAACAGAGTGTTGTCTCACGCACAAGCGCTGCTATGCAGCCACCTGCTCGGCCACAGGAAGGGCAGCCTCCTCTGCGGGCAGGGACTCGGGGCGGGGCAGGGTAGACACTACAAGCATGTTGACGGTGGGAAAGTGCAGACATTTATGAAAAGTAGACGCTGACACTGAGTTTGGGGGCTGGAGAGATGGCTGAGAGGTTAAGAGCACTGACTGTCTTCCAAAGGTCCTGAGTTCAATTCCCAGCAACCACATGGCCGCTCACAACCATCTATAATGTGATCTGGTGTCCTGTTGTATCACGCAAGTGTACATGTAAGCAGAACACTGTACACATAATAAATAAATAAATAAATTATTAAAAAAGTGTGAATCCCAATCTTATTGACACAGGATAGGAAAATCTGAAGCACAATCTTGCTTTCTTTCCTGTACCTGTATCTTAGGGCTTCACTATCTAGCACCATGAAAAATGGCATTACTTGTTTCCAGTCTGATTTCTTCTATATATGTTGGAGATATTTATTTAAAAAAAAATCCAACTACAAGATTTATTATTCCCAAAGGCCCCTTTTAAAAAGCTAGATGGATGGGGGCTGGAGATATGGCTGCTGTTCCAAAGGTCCTGAGTTCAATTCCCAGCAACCACATGGGGGCTCACAACCTTCTATAGAGATCTGGTGCCCTCTTCTGGCTTGCAGGCATATGTGTAGGCAGAATACTATATACATAATAAATAAAACTTTTTTTAAGTCTATGATAAAAAAGGGAAATGGTGTGGCTCTATCTGATGACATATAGCCCACAGTACACCAAGGCCTGGAGTAGCCTGGGGAAGAGTCTCTTTCCTCATTTCATGGACAAAGAAGAACTTGAATGCCAGAAGAAGTTAAGTGTTTGCCTCAGTACTTCTATGTCTCTTCTTAATGAACAATGTGTCCCTTCAGCCTGGTATTCTGTTCCTCAGCAAGCACAGGGCCTGTAATTGTAATCCAGAGGGTAACCCAGAGGGTGATTACATGAATTCTCCTTGGGCCGCTCTTGAATGTCTTTCCATTCTGTGGTGTCACTGACCCTGCTGTGTGGGGTGAGGATGTGCTGATTACCAACCAAAAGCACTTTGGGGTCCATGGCCTTGTGACAATGTCTGGAAACATCCTAGCTTGTCACACTCTGGCAGGTGTTTCTATTCGTATCTATTGTGCAGAGGCCAACCATGCTGCTAACTGTTCTGAGAAGTGTGGAGCAGGCCACATAATGGAGCTTGCCATGGTGCTACTTGGAGCACCCTGGACTAGAAGCCTTCAGAACTTGGAATATCCTGAGCGGTCCTCAGAACCACTTCGTGTTACCAGAAGGTCAGGGTTCCAAACTCCAGCCCACCTCTTCTCAGCACCCAACCAAACTCTGCCCCCAAACACCAAAACTTACCTCTCCTACAGAGCATGGATGGCCATTGGGACAAGCTGTTAAAAGAACAGGACACACATTGGCTAGTAAAGGTTCAAATGACCCATATTCTGGCCCCTCTGACCTGACCAGGTGTTCCACAGCCTCAGCACCTCCCTAGAAATCTGAACTGACAGGTAAATTATGAGACAGCATGGGACATATGCCTAGTGTTAAAGACAGATGTGCTTAGTGAAAATGTCTGAACGTAATGTTAGAAAGCCAAGAGAAACTGATTGGCAATTCACACTTAGTTAACTTGGTTGTAAAGTTGATAGTATTTTCCACGTTTCTTTTCTTAGGATTGTTATCTGACAAAATTTAAATATATTTTTAAAAGATTATTTACTCAAAGCAGTGGCCAAATTCACACAAAGCCTTGGGCTATATTATTTGCCTTCTAGTCCTGTCTTTCACAAGTTATCTTTGGGTCAAAACTGCCATCTTGTGCCTTGTCTTTGTGTGGCTCAGAGAACCCTCTTTTCAGATGCGGCATTCTGGAAAGCACAGGCACTTTGCAAAGAGCCCTCTGAATGGACTCAGATGCATAGCAGAGCATGGACTGTATGTAAGCCACCAAAGGCAACTATGGACCCCAAGCACAACCCAAGGCCTGTGCAATCGCTGGCTGATTGATCAAGTGAGCCCAGAAGAGCATGATGGCAACACTTACTATACCAGTGGACACCTTCCGAGCCCATCAGAGCCCTGGCTTGAACCAGCATGTCCTCAGGCATTGTTGGAAGAAAAGCATTCTGAAAGGTGAAAGCAGGACAGGTCATGAGTGCACAGACTTACAGCCTTACAGCTAGAGGCCAGAGCAAGGATGGACATGACTGTTCAGCCTCACAACTGTTTGCCATG